TGGTTGCCAAGCACAACTAAGCACTGAGCCAGAAAGTTAACAACAGTTGGAGTGTGGTCACCTGTAGGCAGAAAACAGATCGCATCCATTATAGTAAACCAGATAAAGAGCCATGTTAAAGACAGAGACAATTTTTATTTCTACAATCCTCATAACATATCTTCTTTTTAACCTAGTTTATTATTCAACTCCCTCCAATATAAAATGGCCACAGACTGGTTTTTGTTGCTTTACAAACTATTTGCTTTAGATGTGTCATTAGAATCTTATCACCAAATTAAGATGCCATGACTTGTCTTAAATACAAGGGCTTGCAGCTTTGAAAAACAATGACTGGTCTAGGTTAGAGAAAAGAAAGTGGCAGTAAGGCTCAAGTTCTTTAAACAGCACAGAAAATACAATTTAATGTTTTTTAAAGCAAAAGAAGTGAGTTTGTGAGCTGAAGGATTTTGCAGAATAAGCAAGTCTTTGCAAATGACCTTGCCGTGTTCTCCCACCCCACCTCCGCCCAAGTCCCACACCACAGCACACTCCTCCTGAGGGGCCAAGATGATCACCTGAGTCCCTTACTTAAAACGTTGATGAAGTTCAGGCTCCTCAGTGGGCCACACCGGGCTCCCCGTGACCTCTCTCCCTCGGCTCGCTTCTCACCTCCACCTCCTTTATAGCACCCATCCAGTTTCAAGAGGCAGACCTTTGCAGCGCCCACCTCCTCTGTTTAAATGCCCACCACCACCTTCCACCTAGGGGAAAAATCACCTTCCCGTTAAGGCTTCATGGTACCTTCCTCTCTGGCCTGCTGCCCCCTGCACCATCGCCACAGTAATGACCATATTGTACTCTAATGATCAATTTACGCACCTGTTTCCAGCCTCAGCACGGTTCTGGACACACAGTAGGTGCTCTCTAGATGGTGGTTGCTGAGGAAATGAGTCCTTGTCTTAACTACAGCTTCCCTGTCCTCTCAGCACTTTGAAAGTTCTCAGAAAAGGAAAAGGAAATGACTAAAGTGTAGACTGTTTAAACGGAACACAACCACCACCCTGCCCGGGGTACCACCCCCTGCCACTGGGGAGGAGGAAGAAGAAGCACTGAGGCCAAGAGCCCAGCAGCACCGCTGTGGAGGTGCTGTGATTTCTCTGGTTTACAACAGCCGGGACCAGCTACATAATCTGGGGGGCCCAGTGCAAAATGGAAATGGGGGGGTCCCCTATCCAAAGATTATTGAGAATTTCAGCAGACCAAGCCGCAGCCCAGGGCAGTTGCACAGGTCGCACACAGTGAAAGCTGGCCCTGTTGACAGCACGAGAGTAGGGAAGCTGAGAGAAATTTTGGATCAATTTTTTTAAAGAGTAGCTTTAAATCTGTGAATTTGTTTTAGAATTTCTATTTTCTCATGCCTCACCCCTCATAAGACCCCTACAATTATTTATTTTCATTTAGAAGTACAGATTCTTTCAAAATGTTTATTTTATTCCACGTTGTTTTAGGAAAAATACCACATACTCTTTGTTAGTCCTTGAGAAATAATGCTGTGATCCACACCCCACCACGTAGCCCTGAAATGAAGTAACACATCATTATTGCATTTCCTCCATTCAGCCCCCCAGTTTGGGGGAGACTGGCTGGGCTTTCACAGGATTATGTTAACATGAAACATCTTTATCAACCTTTTGCTAATTTGTAAAAATTAGTTCTCAGAGCAATAGCATCCAGTCTCTCAAGTGTGATTTTATTTCACAGCATTCTTAGTAAATTAGAAATTGTTCTGTTTAAACCCCAAATGAACTTAGTTTATCAGATATCATCGTGATGAAATGTTGTTGGTATCTGCTGACAATGTAAATGAATGAAGATTTATGAAGGGGTCTTTTCAAAACTCAACTACTCTGCGGTGGGGAGCTCATTTGCACTGCCGCGCGTTCTCCAGCAGGGGGCCGCGCGAGCAGTGCCGCATGCCCAGTTTCGCCCAGCAGGGGCCACCCCGCTCCTGCCCACCCTGGGGTCCCTCCGAGGGACAGTAGGAAGGGGACCACGCACTATCGGTGAGCGCAGCACTATCAGGTGGAGCAGGGAGTGGGGCCCCCCAAGAAGCCAGTCCCGTGGACAGATGCCGGGTCGCAACCTTCCTTGGTTAGGGCTCTCATCTCGTCGTTCCCCGTGCTGAGCTGTTTGCCTGCTCTCTTGCATACGCCTCAAAGCGAGAGAACCGAGCAATATGGCTAAATTCATGAAACCAAACGCTCATTTTACTCTCCTAGCATGAAATGTTCACCACGCAGGCCCATCTGAATAGATCTGATTGTGCCAGAATTCTTAAACTTGAGCTCTGCTTTCTCATTGGCAAAGGCGATGATTAGCACCTACGTCTTAGGCCCCTCAAAGATTAGCACGAGCATGGGCATGGAGGTGACTGGTCCGGGAGGCGCTGCAACAGTCGGCTCACTTTTGTTGCCTGGGGCTGTCGTGTTACTGAGACGACAGGGCCGCCAGCAGTGGAAGAGAAGAGAGAAAGTCACAGGAAGAACTCCTACCGTAGAACACCAGCAGGGCCCGGTTTATACAAGTTTGCAGGACTCTGCACCTGCTGCTCAGCCCTCTTCTCACCTACGAACAAACACGCACGCAGACGCCCACTCACCCAGCTAAAAACGCCTAGGACTCAAAGAGATACCCACACCAGAACGAACCCAAATGCACAGAAACACCAACAGCTAGTCCCGCAGACAGGTACCTGGCAGGAGGCACGCTGCTGCGCTGAGGGAGGGTGGTGGGAGGTGAGCGGGGCCCAGACTGGGCAGAACCCCAGAGGGGATGCCGGGGGAAGGGAGACAGAAACCCACGGACTGTGGAAAACCACGATTTGCAGGTACAGTAGTAATGTTTTACCTTAGCAAGATCCAGGGACATTTCCGAGCTTATGCAGATGACGGAAAATATACCTTTAGCCTTAATTACTTCACACCATTACCTTGGCTCTCACAGAAATTCCTGGTAAAGACCATTAATTACCTCTAGAGGTAAATTTCAGCACTGGGGACCGACGGGGGTTGCTCTTCTGCCTACAGCTAGGCTTCCAAGACTGAGATAGGACAGGTACGCAGGATAAATCTCCGAGTGGTTATTCCTCATCCGCAGGGAAGACGCTTCACCTGGGCAGGCACTTCTGTAGACTTCCCCTAAACTTCTTTATCAACCAACTGCGATACAAAGCTGCTGTGCTTCTTGGGTCATGTGGCAGCTACCGTGCCCAATACCGAGCAAACCGGAATCCAAGTGAACAAAAAAGGCAATTCGATTTTGTAAGAAACAATATATTTTATTTTTCTGACACCACAGCTCTGGTGAGTGGTTTTGTACCAAATTTAATGGAGGTTACACAGAACGTTTTACGCATGGGAGGGGGAGGGAAGGGAAGGAACCACAAAATCAAAAACAAAAACAAAAACAAAATCCTGGGTAGCTTTTAGCATCTGTTCCACTCCCACATTGATAAAATTCACTTGGGAATTCCTAATCAAAGGAGAACAGAAAACAAGGTGGGCAGGGAAGGGCATGTCCGGGAAGAGAAGAAAGGGAAAAGAAAACCATCGAGCATCCCAAGCACAGTGGCCTTTCCCTCCCAGAGCCAGAGCCGGAGCCCGGACGACACTCCACCTGGAAGGCGAGGCTTCCTTAGATTTACTTCCCCCAAATAACACCGTGTATTGCAGCTGCCAAAGGGAAAGAGGAGGAAAGCAGGGGTTGTCGGTGGCAGGGCACGGGGATGAGGGAGGAAACACACTTAACCAAGGGGATGCAGAGGGGGAGGGGAGGGAAACTGAGAGAAAAACGTGAAGGTGGGTTTGCAGACTGGGAGAGACAGACAAGTGCCGGAGAGCACTCGAACTGAAAAACAAACGTCCTAAGCTTCATTATTTTTAAAAAGAAAAATCTCCCCCCTCCCCCCACCCCTCGCTGAACTTAGTTCCTTTTTTTGTGCTTTTCATTAATACTCTGCTCTGAGGTCGTAGTTTGGTTTTTTTTCTATACACTGGAGTTGAAAGAAAATAGTCCAAAGGTCTGAAGATGGATTCTCCACCTGAAGTAAACAGCCCAGCATTCCTGTTCTCCTCTTGTCCCAAAGACTAAAGTCTCTGCTAAAATCCCTTTTACAATATAGTACAGTACACAAAAAAATAAAGCCCAAAGCAAAAATCAAAACCAGAAAAGAATCCTGGGAGAAGCCAGTCCAAAGGACGTAAACATACAGAGAACGGTGCAACACATGACCGATGGCAATTCTCAAAGCACAGCTACAGATTCCCAAAAGTAGGTGCCATCATGGGATACCCAAGTCCACAAAAATAATTTTTAAAAAATAAATCTTAAAAAAAACACACCTGTTGATTAAATGAATCATTTGTTTTCAGGTAAATCCATACATTCTCGAGTTCCCCCCACCCCCAAAGCAGCCCTCGGGTCTCTGTTCTCCTATTGCATGACCAACAGTACTCCTGGAACTCCCTCAAAGCAGCTCTCAGGACCTGGAATCTCATCTTGACAAGGATCGGCACATCCAATCTTAGCAGCTTAAAACATCATGTTTCCTGGGTTGCCAGGTCCTTGGCTAAATCCACCCATGCCCACGTCGGCGGCCATGCCCCGGGGCCTCATCTGTGGGGGGATCATGATGTTCTGTTGGGGTCCCATCATGCCCTGCATGGACATCATCATGCCTGGAGAGCCCACAGGCCCAGGGTGGGTGTAGAGCCCAGCAGGCCCCCGATCCTTGCCAGGAATCATGCCCACGGCAGCAGCTGGATTGCTCATCAGGGTGGGCTGGCCGGGCATGGTAGATTGTGCTGGTGACATCATCCGATGGTGAGGTCCCATCATGCCTTGCTGGAGAAAGGCTGGTGGTCTCATTGGGTTGTGGCCCGGCATGGATGGGGCTGTACCAAGAGGGATGTCCGGAGTTCCCACTGGCCCTGGGCCTCCCATGCCAGGTAATGCTAGTCCCATTCTGGGGGCTTGTTCACCCATCATCCCCTGCATGTGCGAAAACCCAGGTCCAGGACCCTGGGGCTGTTTACGGCCTGGGACTTCGCCTCGAGGGAAATATTGCAGTGTCTGGCTAGGCTTCTCAGATGGAATAATGCGAGACAGATCGAACTCCGGTATTCCGGTGGCTCCAGGTCGGATGACCTCCTGCAGATCTGGGTCTGTAAACACCGAAGGCATGCTGTTCCCCAGGACAGCGAAGGAGTCAGGACCCCCGGGGCCTCCAGGCTTGCAAAGTGCTGCATCTGCTGAACTCTGAGGCAGGGTGCTGGGGCGGCCGAGGGGGCCTTCTCCTGGGAAACCCATACCTCCTGGGAAGTTGCCCTGCCCCCCACTGGGGCCATTGTGAGGGAATGGAACCTGCTGTGGAGGAGACTGTACTGGAGGGAAGCCCTGGGGGAAACCCATCCGTCCTTGAGGTACCATCGGAGGCTCCTGGGACCCGTGCCCCATGATAGGATTGTGTGACATCAAGCCGGGCCCCATTGGGACCCCATGAGGAGGTATGTTGGGTCCCATGGCACTCGGAGAGGGCATCTGATTGGAGTGAGAAAGTGGTTGGGTCATTCCCATTGGGCTGAGGGTTGGCATCGGAACCACGGGGTTTGGACCTGAAATTCGAGGATTCTGTGTATTAATGCCCATTCCTAGAAAAATAAAGATATCAAAGGAATCACCTTAACCGAGAGCAACTTAGAAAAACTCTAATAAATCCAATTAACAACAACAACAACAACAACAAAATGTTCGTGTATCGAATGTGCAAGGGACTCTGCTGGGAAAACATACAACACGAAATCCCTGCCCTCAACAAGATTAAAATACATTTTGGAGCATACAAGCCAACAAACAGCTCTACAAGAGGATATATTTTAAGTCTTAAACTGTATGACATAAGGGTATGAAGAAAACAAGTAAGAAGAAAGTCTCCTGGGTGAAAAATTACAAATTAATATGCAAACCAATTTAGCCTTCTTCGTTGGAGACATGATTTAATATAGAAGAAACGATTTTGTCTGAATGACTTAGGTATGGTCCTCTTTGGAGAAAGAGGGTTAATCAGTCCTGCAAGTTCAGGAATCAGAAATAACAAGGAAACCAAACAGTCCTTCACCAACTGACATTTGGCATTATCTTTTTTTATACTGCCTTACAAAAGAGAGCATTTCAAACTCTAGGGTATATGAAATGTTAAAGAAATGATAACTTTAACAGAAAAGGAAAGCCTGCTGGTTCTACCAGTCTCTGGGACATTTAAGTATTTGGTTTCTCTATAGAATTACCACTGAGTATGGTGAGGACGGTGCTTGCTAGGAAATGGGGGCTTCTCCCTGTCTGAAATCCTGTGGCTGCTTGTGGTTGGAGGCTGTCCTTCCAGAAAAACACTTGAGAACTACACATCAGCATGTTAAAAAGAAACGGCTTTCAGCATTGCTCCAGGAGGATCCCCACCCCACTCCCAGCCCCTCAAAAGGAAAAAAAGAACCCATCCGGGTACACAGAAGCATCACAACCTCTGTACGGAAAATGTTAAGAACTCTAAGGAAACCTACTCTCTAATAAACACGCTGAATCAAATGAATACAAAATTGCTTTGGTTTTCTTCCTCTACTCATGACTCTTTAATTCTACCGATGGTACTCTTTCTCGACTCGTCCCACTTCCATCCGTCGAGGTCTGCAGCCGTCAAAAAAGCATGCGAGAAGTCTCTCTTTTGTCTAACACTGGCTCCATATCCTAGCTTCGTGATTTCTTACCTGGCATATTATTCATTGATGGCAAGTTGGGAGAACGAGCTGGAGGGGAGTCGTCATCGGAGCTGGCCACAGTCTTGATGGCGTCGTGGTATAAAGGGGTAGAACTGGGCATTGCGAACTTGGACATTCGAGACATCATAATAGACAGCGGGTTCTGGGAAAGGGTCGGCTCTGGAGGCATGGTGTAAGGTGTACTAGAGGGAAGACTTCCAGGGATATTCACAGAGGCAGACTGGCTGGCTGTAGGAGGTGGGGGGCCACCTAGAAGAAAGCAAAATAAAACAAAAATGGGCAGGGAATTAGACTCCTCTCGAAGGCTATTGGGCCTCTGGTTATGAACGAGCAAGGCCAGGAATGAGACAGATGAACAGGACAGTGTTATTAGGCCCAGGACACAGACCATCAATCTTCTAGTCAAGCTCCGTGTGTGTGCAGAGGGGCGACTGCAGAGGATCAGCAGAGGTGAAGACAAACACACCAAGAATGTGTTAGAAATAGAACCTCAAGCTTGGGAAAAGCATGGTTTACGGACAACCATTTCCCTGAAAAGAATGTGAAATAGGCGGATCTCTCCCTTGCCCTTCCCAATTCAGAACTGGACTCGGGTATTTAGTCAGACCAGCGACCGGATGCCAGGTGCGAACTGCATCACCCTGCGCACGCGCCGGATTGATTTCCACGACCAAGATGTTGGAACTAAAGAGTTCCGAGGAGGCTGTTCCACTGTACTGCTTTTGTGAACTGCTACCCAACTGAGAGAGAGAGAGAGAGAGAGAGATGCTTTAGCTGGGCAGGATACACCTTCTATCTTATTCTGAGTCTAGTTTTTCTCAAGCCAAGACAACACGGACCTAGTATTTACATCTCAGTGCTCATCTTCCACTGACCCCCTCTGGTCCCAGTCACAAAACCACCATCATCAGCGAGAGCTTCTCCTAGGAAGAAAATACTGACAAATTGCAGCTGATCTGTGAGAACAGCAGTCTACCAAGGAGAAGGTTTTGGTAACTGTCTCTGTGGTCCACGTGTATTTATGAGAACCACTTGGGTCTCTCAGCAGCCTCCCCTTTCTGCTTAGGATGATACTCAGAGCCTGTGGACGTGAGGGCAGCTCCTGCAAGTGGGCGGGTCTAGTATTTAAAGAAGCCACATTTGCCCACTGTCAAGGCATTTTATTTCACCAACATGTGTTCACTGTGCAGATGTAAATTACTCTGTGAAATAACACATGCTTCCCGTTTTCCCTCCTCCTTGGAACCGTCCTATCTGACGACCATATTTGGCACCAAGAGCCGCGTATCTCCGCCAGGATGGGACAGTTGCGCGGAACCCCGTAGAAGTACTGACCATGCACCTGGCGGCGAATACGTCTGTTTGGGCAAAGGCCACCTCCTCCGGTTGCATAATCAGGTTAGGACACCAGTTTCCTTAAAGCACATAAATGAGGCTTTTGCAATCTCCGGCTACAAGGTGCAACGGTGAGGATGCGAGCATACTGACCTGACTCTACACTGCCCAGCATGGCTGGGGAGGCCATGGTGAGGGGTGCTTTATGGTTTGGAGGGATCCCGGGACTCTGAAGGGGAGGTTTTGGAGAGGAGGTCCATCCGGGTGACGGGGCAGGAAGTGATGGAGACTTGAGGTGAACAGGCGAAGCAGCGGCAGACCCCAAGACAGGGGGGGACTTAATGGAAGCAGCAGCTGGGCCCGCCAGCACGCCTGCCAGCTGCGATGGAGTCTGGGGGGACTTGAGGTTCCCCGACGGCGAGCCCAGCATCGGCGACTGGACCTGGCGCATCGTGGGAGATTTCAGAGGGTTAATGCCTGGGGAATGTACCTGGCCGCCCGCCACAGACATATCCAAGGGCTTCCGCCCCAGGCCACGCTGAACTGGAGGAGCGGCGCTGAGGCTAGTGGGGTTACTGGAAGGGTTGAGAGGTAGTGGTGGCATGTGACTGAGCCGGCTGTTAGTCCTTTGGTCGGGCCCAACTGGTTCTCTGAGATTCCGCAAGCCGCTGTTGCTGCCTGGACCCTGAGACATGGGGAGGAATGGCCTGGGGCCCATGCCGTACTCTTGCTGGGGGTGCTCCCCAAAGGGCAGGGGCACCATCTTCTGCTGAGCAGGCAGCACGTCTGTGCCACCTGGGCGTAATTTCATCATCTCCTCAGGGCCCGCCCCAGCCTCTCTCATCTTCTGAGGTATCATCTGAGGGTTGGATCCCATGCTGACGTTTAGACTGACATCTCCCTTCATCCCACTAGGAACCATCCCAAACTCAAGTTCCCGGCCAGGGCCCATCTGCGGGGGAATTCCTTTCGGAAAGTCACCCCTGGAGGGACTCAGAGGGCCCTCGACGGGTATTCGAGGGAAGATGGGATTATTCCCAGGCTCCATGTGTCGCTGGGAGCCTGGGATCATCCTATTCATCTCCATGCTGGGCCTGATGCCTTCCAGGCTCATCCCCGGGGGGAGACCCAGCTGCTTCTCGGCCAGCTGCTGTTGAAACATCTCTTCGGACAGTCCCTGGGGGTTTGGGAAGCGTTCCCCTCGGCCAGGACCACTGAAGACACCCTGGCCAGGCGGGAAGTTTCGGCCATCCGCGATTTTTGGCACATCGTCTGGCCAACTGACTCCAGAAAGACCTGGTCTAGACGCCGGGTTGGGGACATTCGGCCCCTCCATTTCCGAGCTGATCATTCCTGCAAATCCGGGGAGGCGCATCTGGCTCCCCGGCATGTTGGGGTGGGGAGCCATGCCCCTCGGGGGCAGAGAATGGGGCATGCTGATCCCGTCGGCAAAGGGCTCTGCCCCACCAGGCCCCCAGCCTTCACTGGGGGCCATCTGGTACGGAGGGGGAGGCCCTCGGACCACGCCCCGCGGCCCATGCTGGTGGACCATCATGTCCTGGAGGGAGCACTGCTGCACCACCACTTGCTCCTGCTTCCTCCTCTTCTCCTCGTAGAACTCCTGCTGCAGTTTCAGCCATGCTATCTGCTCGGGGGTCATATGGTCCAGGTGCTCGGGTCCCAGGGGCCCAGGCTGGGAGTTCATGGAAGGTGGAACCATTTCATCGGGAGAAAAGGGCACATCTCTATGGCCTTGAGGGCCAAATGGAGCTCCCACATCTGTCCGGGGCCCAGGGCCCTTCCCTAGGCTTTGGGATTGAGCCATCATGGCCTGTATCGGCCCTTCCGGTTTTTTCTGAGGTCCATCTAGTACCCCAGTATTCTGCTGGGGTCCCCCACTTTGTCCTCCTGTGAATTCTTTCTCATCGGGGAAAAGCATACGTTGGATATCTCGGAGCGTTTGTAAGGAGCGCTCCCGGTGCTCCAGCTGCTCTTGAGACAGTCCATCGGGGTTCTCTCCCAGTGTGGGGGGCTCTCCGCTGGACACCGGTGCAGGCGGAGGGGCTTTGGGATCTGCTGAAGAGCTACTGCTGCCCTGGGAGACAGGGGTCACTGCTCGGTTATTGGGGGTCGAGTTCGGCCCGGTACCGTCGGGGGGCAGTGGAGCGGAGCTGGCAGGACTGCCTACGGAAGCAATCAGTTTGTTTTCCACCCCAGGACTATCCCGGTCCAGGGCGCGCGGGGGTGCAGCGGGCTTGGGTGCTGGTGCCGGAGTGGGTGGAGTCGGCTGCAGTCTGGTATTCTGGGAAGCATTCTGGTCCTGGTTGGCTGGAGCCGGGGGCTGTGGTGGGAGGGGTTTCGGATCATTCCGAAGGGCAGATATCTGTGTGTTCTGAAGACAAACAAGATTTTAAAAATCATTGATAAATTGTATAGAAAGGCAATTAAAAAAAAGCAAGACAGGTTATAAAGGATTTGTCCCAGGCCCATAAATCTACTCCGACATTTGCCGTGGAAACTGCCCATGGCCAACCCCACTCTGGACACGGAGACGTTCAGATTTTTTCCTTCCACTTTACCATCAAATGGCATCCTCTTTCCCTTGCTGAAGATTAGGTTTCAATAACTTTATAAGCATGCCAGGGGAGAGCCACTCTGCCAAAGCGAATACATTTGAGTATCTATTTCGAGGAACAGGTTTGATATCACATGTCTACTGTGTGTTTCTGATTCAAAGAGAGATTAGTTTCTTGGTATGTGGGAGGCTGTACCTAACACCTTTTTCTTTTCCCTGAAAGTACAACTGGGTACGTAGGCTTCTCACTGTCAATCAAGAGGCCCGATGTTTTCAACTGAAAGAGAAAGTACTTGTCACTTACAGCTCTGTACTCCACCAGCCAGGGGAAGCAGGAGGACCGCTCCGTTTCAGCGTGCCCTCTGGCATGGTGACTACCAAAGTACTCCTCTCCTTGAGTTTCCAGGGAGCCTGACGGCTCTGGTTTCTGTTTTCAGTGTGTGATCACTGATTCCATATTTGATAAGAATTTGTACATTAACTGTAGTAAGAGAATCCGCAGGCAGGAAGCATCTGGGGAGAAATCTGAGGCTATCTAGCTCACGGTGTCTCTTGATCTGTTCTTTCCAATAGGCAGCAGACTGCCCTTTTTATAGGTTGGAGAATAGCCTCATTATTATTTATTAAGTACCGACGCTACGCTAAGTCCTGGGTGAAAGCACCCTCCCCTGCAGTAGGTGACACGGATGCTGTTAGCATCTGGAAGAGGGACATATGTGTGCTGGGGCTGAACCCTGGCACCGCTGATGGTGCTGAAGGCAGGGTCCTAAGGGAGAACACGAGAGCCCGGCCTAAAAAACCCCATCGCAGGGGTCTATCGCCAGCCTCCAGCGAGCTGCACGGCCCCTTTTTTGATCTTCTTTTGTTCCTACTTGCTCACTTAATCCAGTCTGTATTTCCAAACCCCTAAGGCTCTTCCTTACCTCCGCACTTGCTCTCTGGAATGCTTCCCTGTGTGCAAATTTGTACACGAAGCATTATGTGTATCTCTGCATCGAACAGTCTGTGTTGCATAAACACAAAGCCTATCTTCGAGTGTTCACATTCTGTGGGTATGTATATAAATGTTTCCCTTGCAGGTACCCAGGCACAGATGTCTGCAGACAGAGACTGGGGTGGGGAAGGCTGGCCGAACGTGCATGACTCTGCACGCGCTCGGTGTCGTCCGGGTTCCTGACTCCCTCCCTCGATGCAGTGGGGAGGTCACCTTAATTTTCCTTCCGGTGCCATTTTAAGTTTGGGTTTGTTGGCCAGCTTTTGTGTGTTCGTTCGGGATGGGCACTGACTTCGTGTCATGTGACCAGGACAGAAGCAGCAGTTTAGTGCCACCCTTTTGATTCTAGATTGGGAGCGATCGGTGATTTTGATTTTTCCCAATTCCATCCTTAGCTCCTTTTCTGACTCATTTCAGTCCCAGAGAAGGTAGAGGTGAAAACTATAGTTAAGATCTGCTGTTAAGTCGATCAAATATTGGCTTGCACTGCACTATTCCCTGTGCATTCCAGGACAATTTAAATTTTAAATGTTATAGACACATGTGTATAAAACTTTTAAGTATAAATTAAAATATACATACATTTTAAACGTTATGTACATCCATCCCCTACCCTTCTTGAATAGCACAGATGTATGAGGAATGTGAAATGCTTTTTCTAAGTCTAGAAAAGCCAAGCTCTGCTGTGTCAATGGAGAGGAACTTCACTGATACACGACACAGACAAAAATGTCTATTTTATCTTGAATTGTCTTTTGACTCATTTATTGTCACTTAACTTTTCCATGTCGAAGATCCCACTGAGTACTAGATTTTATGTTTCCTGAAAGCAGGGACTGTGTCTTGAACCTCTTTGTGTCCCCACAGCATTTGGTGGGATGCCTTGACAATGCTAGTCACAGAAACAGCTTTTGGTTCCATGTGGAACGTTCCATGTATTCAAACAACCACTGCATGCTTTTTCTAATGTGGTTTATGGCAGGTACTTAAGTTCCAGACAGGAGACAGACTAACGTTTATTATAATTTTGGAAATATCAAGCAATTAAAAGCATTCAAAGGTCCTCTCACTTTGAAGTAAGAATCATTTTGAAAGTCACTGAGACTCTAATTATGGTATTATCAGCACGTACTCCAGTACTGTGGCTTCACTTATGCCTTTTCTGTTCTGCAACCAACTCAAGCGTGTTTGTTAGTTCTTAAAAACCGGCCCTGTACACAGGGTCCGAATTCAGATTTTCCCAGAGATGGCAGCATGAAAGAAATTGAAGATCTCCATATAAGCCCTTTCTTATTCTGGGTCTTCCTCTCCTAGTAACCCGTCAGTACCCCAGCCTGCTAAAGGAAAGGCCAGTACAGTGCGATCTGCCTGAACCCACGCAATGCCACAAGCAGGTGAGATGCCCAGAATGCGGCTTGTACCATCAAGACTGTCTCCCCGTCAATGACATTCCCCATCTCCCACCTTTACAGCCACCGGAGAGCCTTTAAACCACACTCCACTTCCAAAATGGCCTACCAGAGGGGCTGTGCTTCGCTCTGTCTTGCTGTTGGAGATGTTCTGGATGTGGAAAGAGACGATAGTTTCAACCTGGCCCTTCAACACAGCTTCTGCAGCTCTGCAGAGATGAAAGAGAGGCACCCACTAGGACTTGCTTCTGTTCCACTCCCTGTAATTCCAAAGCACTTTAACCCCAGATTGAACTTGTGAGAGGGGAAGGAGGGTGGTTCTGTGTAGAGAGCCACCAGAAATGTTGAGGAAGAATCAAGAAACACAGGTTTTCATTATTCATGTCTATCATTTACCACCAGACTTGTGAAATCTAATGATAGCCATTAGCAAATCTCAAAAGAGACATTAAAAAAAACCCCAAGATTTTCTCCTTCAAACCAATACACTGTGGTAGGTGTTTTATAGAAACCGAGGTCAAAGCCCCAACCATGAAAGGGGAACGTGAAATCTCACAACACCTAATGATAATCTAAGGCTGTGGAAATTCACTCTGTAGGTATGTAGGGTAATTCACATTTTCTATAAATTAAGTAAGTCACTAAAAAATCTGCTGATCCATCTACCGGAAACACAGGTACCCAAACATTCAGAGTAGTTATCTCTATGCATTCCAGACGTATTTTTCTTTTTAGTGATATTTTCTAATTATTCTGAGACAGACACGTATTATTTGTGTTATTTAAAAAAGAATGCTCGATTACGGAAAAGTGGATATTTTTTATTTATATATTTATTTTTAATTTTTTTTTATTTTAAAGATTTTATTTATTTATTTGAGAGAGAGAAAGAAACAGCATGAGAGGGGAGAGGGTCAGAGGGAGAAGCAGGCTCCCCGCTGAGCTGGAAGCCTGATGTGGGACTTGATCCCAGGACTCTGGGATCATGACCTGAGCCGAAGGTAGTGGCTTAACCGACTGAGCCACCCAGGCGCCCGGAAAAGTGGATATTGTGTAATCAATCTCTTCTGTGTTTAAAAAAGATCTGCATGTACATTATAAACATAAAAACTTTCCGGAAGGAAAGCCAAAGAAGCATCATCAGTGGCTGCCTCTAGGGAGAGAGGGTAGGGAGGTTTCATATTTTATTTTCTTTTACCCCTTGCTGTACTGTTAACTTTAAGTGGTAATAACACCAGTGAGGGGAAAACAAGGATTAACCTTCAGTGGGAATAAGAACTTCGGTGTCCAAACACACAAGCCATGCCAAGAGCGAGACCCAGCCGTTAACTTACTTATTGGCCATCTCAGTAGAAAACACATACACCACTTTGGCGGGAGTCTTCTGAGCAGGTGTGGGCTCCGGGGCAGTAGTCTGGCCATGGGAGGGGGTGGAAGACCTGGGGGCCGTAGCATTGGATGGGGTCATCGAGTGTGGCGTGTGCTGGGAATCCTGGGACTTTATGTGGTCAGCAGAATTACATTCTGAAAGAATGGAAAGACTCGTGTCACAGAAAGAAAAAAGCTTCTGCCAGCACTTACAGCACAACACAAACCCGCCTTGAGAATTTCAAGGAGTGAGTACCTTGCTAAGAGGAGACCTCTCCACCTCATAAAAATTCCAAACTGCTTCTCCCGAAATGACGAATTACAAAGCACTCTTCCCCCCTCACCTCTGTACTCTCCCCGGCGCACCTTTCAGACATTAGCACAAACGTCCCTCCTTCCTGGAAACCTTTTTGGAATCTCTTGGACTGGATGCCCCTGTGAGTTGAACCCAGAGCCCCCAAATCCTCTGATTGCAGCATTTATCACATTTCATCGTAATTGTTTAATGAGCTGCTATCCGGGTGCACTCAAACTGCTGGGGACAGCAACTGCACCTTGGTGACCGTGCCCCCCAGCACCCAGCATAGTGCTGGCCCTCCTGCCAGGCCTCCCACAGATACCTGAGGAAGGAAGGAGAGACGGGGAGAGCAACCACCCAGCTTTTCATTTCTAATTTGGATTGGTGGGGGGGAGGGGTCGCACTTCCACTCCTGGAATGCAACTTCACGCTCTGGCCTATAGTTAAGACTTTTGGTTTGATACTAGGAGGGAAAACAACAGAAGCCACAGCCGCCGGCCCCACATTCTCCCTGGCTGGCTCTGTTTTGCTGCCTCCCCGGTTTCTAGCACATGTAGCCCCTCGGTCCTGCCACGCGGGAATCAGCTGCGACCCTCCCCCCACCAGCACCAGCGCTTCCTCTAGTGCCTACAACTCTGGCAAAGTGGAAGCCAGAGAGCACAGAACCCAAGTCTCGGAGGGTTAATCTGACAGAGAAGAGGAGAGATGCCGGGAAGACAGCTCCAGTGTGGGCCACTGGCAGAGACAAACTGGAGCTGGATACGGAAGTGTAAATCGCAGGGGGGCCAGAAACATCCCTAAGAACGCGGGGAGGGCCGTGGAACATCCTGCCATAACCCCCGACACACGTGCCTCCTCAAGAGCGAGAACTCCTCCACAGGGTGGTTCCAAACTGTTCTTCAGTCAGTAGGAAAATGAGAGGACACAGCTCCATCTTAATAAGCTGTGACATACACTCCTGAATCTGATACCTACTCTCCCCACTTGGCTGCTATTAGGCTCTCCGGCACCCACCAACGTCAGAGGCCTTCCCTCGGGAACACCTACTTCCCTCTGAGTCTCAAAGATCTTATAGACATACCTTTAATGTCAGAGTCATCGTTTGGAGTCCCAGGATCTCTCTGATCAAAGGAGTCGGCGGAAATACTTCGCTCCCTTTTCCCCTTGCCCTTGGCACCATTTCCAGCCCCATTCTTCAGCCCCATGCTCCCACCTGGGCCAGGGAGTGCTTTAGGGGTATGGCCCCCACTCTTGGAGTCACAGGGGGATGGCTGGGATTGGCTGGCTGAGCCCCCCTGTTTACCCTGATTGGAGAATTTGGAATCCAGCTGGGGGTTTCCAGATGGGGACATCACTGTAGGGGGACGGACCATCACCTCCTGCTTTGACTTAGGGCTACTAAAAGAGACAAATAATAAAGGGAGATCAGATGCCGGATACAGCTGGTCGGCCCAAATCAGGGAGAAGCAGTTTCTAGAGTAGGTCAAGGAGCCGCAGAGGACTAAGCACCCGCCCCACCTTTCACCTCAGTTCCTGCCTCGCTCCCTCCGACCCCGCTCTCATCTTGGCGCTAACTGAGAGGAGGCTCAGGCAGAGTGGCCTGCCAGGTCTCGGGAACCCTAGAGTCACATGGGGACCCATCTCTAGGGCTTCTGTCAATAAAGGACAATGGTTTCTATGTACATAGGGAAGTGACTCTCACACTAAGACTAGCTCAGAGTAAACAAACAGGCATCGTTAAGATCAAAATACTACCCACCCCCTGGCTGACGACAAGGAACAGCTGTAGCGAGAGCCTAGCTTCCCTGCTGGAAAATACGGGCAGGGAGCAGGACCCAGCGAGCGGGAGAGGAAACCCGCTGGTGAGCGGCAGGTTAGGGAAACCCTCCCGGATACGAATCACTCCAGCACGCAGTATCACACACCAGGGCACATACACTCACCGGTGCCCCAAGGGATGAGGAAAACACTCTTTAAAAAATATCAACTTAAGTACTGTGGGGCACAGGAAAAAACTTCACAGCGGCGGGGGGCCGGTGCGGACGTCCTAGGACCCTAGGCCTCCTCGCCCTCACGTGCCAGGGTTGGTACCCCGGACCGGGCGGACTCTGAGGGCCCTTCCTCTGCGCTTTGGCTGGGGGGGGGGGGGGCGGGGAGGGGCGGTAGAGAGGTGCGGTCAGGGAATAACGGGCAAAAGCGTAAGGCCGGAAAGCTCTAACGCAAAGTCTGACTGCACTGCAGCCTGTTGGCTCTTCCGTCCCTAGTCACCTGTCTGTCCTCTCTTCTTCTGCCCACTCGGGTCTCATTCGCTTCCACTTCCACACACCGTTCCCTCAGTGAGTGTTGGCGGCCCACCTCTGACACCCCCGGAGGGGCAGCGGGGCAGGCCCGGCCCTTACCTCTGTGTGTTTCCTGACGGAGAGCTCCTCACTTTAGGGTGACTGGAATGCATTGATTGAAATCCTGAGCTTGCAGTCACAAACAGGGACGGGCTCACCGAGTTCCTCTCGGGCAGCAGACACAGCTGCTGAGGGCGGTGGCGGCCCGCTGCTGGCTGGGTGCGTCCCTCAGCGCTGGCCCCCCGTACGCCCTTTTCCTCTTTGTTTTTCTCCGCTGTGGAAGTGGGTCCTTTCCCCTTGCAGCTCCAGCATTCTCCGGGGGTGTGCCTCCTGCTGCCAAAGGAAAATCTCGCATCTCCAGGGCACACTATGGGAAAAGGCCCCCCCAAAAGACATAAAACACCCTTACAACAGGATCAAAGGTAAAGCGCTAGCCGACTCGACGAGGCAGCAGCCAGGTCACTCCTCGGCTTCCGGCGCGGTCAAAGGAGCGGCGGCGTTCGTGCGCTGGCGCTGAGGCAGCTCAAGGGGGACAAGCCTTTCCGCCCAGCCCACGAGCCTCCCACCAGCTATCCTGTACCGGGCGTTTGTGAGCAGATGAGAAAAACATTTTATATTCTCCCTCCCACTTCTCTGCTTCCAAATACAAACCCGTCAAACACTTGGGTTTTTCTTCTCTCAAAACAATGCCTTGAAACCACAGGGTACCCCAAACCCAAAGCAACTATCTGGTCTTTCACCTCGGATGGCAAACAATGGCACTGCCGTGTAACAAACCCATCCCAGTTTCCAACCACGCAACAAATTAATCTCTGTTCGTATTCTCAGGGCCTCGGGGTGGAGAGACATTGGAGGAGGTACTTCTGCAATCAGCTGTGGAGGCAACACCAAGTACAATCAGTTCTGCCCCGTGACGTCACGCTCTTTCTATTAAATGATGCCAAGGATGCATCTTGCGTTCTCACTGTTTTATGACGGGGACCCTAGGCATGGGTAAGCATGGGAATGATCCATAATGCTGAAGGTAAAAGAACATCTCTAAAAGCTAAGATATTTTCTGAGCCAATTTGCAAGACTGATTTGAAGCATAAAGGTCAAGAAAATATTCCCAAACCTAGCCAGAGAACAAATGAGAAAGCCCTTTCCTTAAGGAAGCCTAGACTAGTTCAGGGAAAACCAAGATACACTTTCAGTCCCTTCTCCTTCCAGGGCAGGTCCAACATGGTTTTCTGGTAACCACTGGCCCCTCAGCTCCCTCCCCACCTTCTGCTATCTTGCCGCTGGAGTATGGGACCGAAGGAGAAGACAAGATGTAGGATTTGTGACTGAAGGATCAAAGGGAGTTAGAAGGAGCTCAGGTTAGTTCTAGCTCACATACCCCTTGAGAGACTCCAGAACTGGACCAAGACTGGGAGTTTTATTCCAGGTTTTGGCACTGAGTAGGAGCGCTGTCAAGTGTTAAATGTCTCTTTCTTCATTTGGAAATTTGCAACAGTCCCAGCTATTTGACCTGAGACACTGAAAGGATTTATGGAAGTTCTTGGTGCACCCGATTTCATTTTTTTCTTTTTAAGTGAAGAAGTCAAGAAAAAGAACTAGAATAAAATGTTATGGAATGTTTCTATGTTGACCTTAGGAGAAAACATCCTAAAACACACTTTGGTTTTGATTACATTTAAGGTTGTATTTTTATCCCCCACCACCTTCAGCTTTTTTTTTTTTTTTTCAGTTTAAACTATAAAATTGATCGTGGTTGTCAAGTTTGACATACGTGATCATAAGCCATTTTGTAACCTCTCACTAAACATCAGGAATCACTGGTAAAATAGAAGTAGCAAATGAATCTTGCACGGACAAAGCCATCAGAAAATGTTTACCTCAGGAACAGAAAAGCAGTTACCACCTAGATAGTCCCCTTCTGTAACTTCTGGTACTTTCTGTCTGCATCACGCATTCTAGCACTCAATCACATGTCATACTGAATAGTCCTATGTGTATGTTTTATCTCCCTATGAAGACTATGTTCTTTGAAGACAGGAATCTTGTTTTAAAGTTCTTTGGCTTGTCTATAATCGTCAGCATGATGTACTAAGATGTGGTTGGACCCTCCGTGACTGACCCAGCTTCTCCCAGAACAGAAACACCTGGCATTTGTGTTGCACTCTTTTTCCAAAGGAACTCTGAACATACTACAACTATCAAATCGCCTCAACCCGCCAGGCATTTCTGAGGAGCCGGTAGCAACGATGATTTCTAATAATACTGTGAGCATATGACATTTTTATTTCAAAGTACTCCTACAGACAGTCTCTTCTCACGAGTTGCTCAAGCTTGATCAACAGGCATTGTACAGATGAGTGGCCCCAGCACACATGAACTGTGGGAGGGGCTTCTCCCAGGTTTGCCGTCGGTGATCCCTGACCCTGCTCTTCCGCAAAGCCACCTCCTTACCATGACTTTATGGGTGGAGACAGCAAAGAAGGCTGAAACAAGCATGTGGACTCACTGAGAGATGGGCAACAAAACCCAGGGTCTTCAACCCCTGATCTAGGGGAGTTGTTGAAGTACGTCACCCTAGCCTTAGCCCTAGCCGAGCAAAAGAAATCTGCCAAAGACTCACATTAGGCTCTTTGGCGTCTACATTTGCAGGGTGGTACTCAACTGTTTACCTTAAGGACTGGAAAAGCTCTTCCACAGAAGATGCTTAATTACAGACACACAGAGATTTTTTCCTCCACTAAAAAGTAATCTCCTAACTTTAAGATCTACTTATTCAATGTTTTTCCCTCTTCTTCTTAGATGCTATTTAAAATTCGTCCTAACTAGGTGTCAGACACTCTTTTAAGCACTGTCCCTACATACTAAACTCACTGACCACAGCACCAGGAGGCAGGTACTCCTACTCTCCCTATTTGAGAGATGAGGAAACTGAGCCTCTGAAATGTGTAGCCGTTTGCCCCAGTGACGTGGGTCATCCCTGAGTTAGCCATACCCCAGTACGTGGGAGAGCTGGTGCGGGGCCAGGCACCCCGGCTGTGCTCTTCATCACTCCGGTGCCTGCCAAGACGGGGACTCGGTGGACAAGGGGAGCCCGTGCACGGAATAAAGTGCTTAGCAGTACAACATCAGCATGTGGGTGAACTACTACTAGGACGACTACCATTCTCTAGCCAGCTCACTAGCTTATCCTGCCGAATGGCATTTCATATTTTGTTCATCTCCAACTGTCCCCTTCCTTCCCGCCCTCCCCTCTCTCAGTGCATGGTCTTGCCCAGGACTTAACAAGAAGAGAAGTCACGAGGCCGGATGTGACATGCTCACCATCAAATCTGCAATCCTGTTTTCAGAGTACCTATCCCCTCCTTCTTCTCTGTTATTGAAACAGACAAAACAGCCCACTTCTCCCCAAGGGTCAGTTCCACCACGGGTGGTCTAGGCCCCATTCCGTCCAGCTTTCTGAGAGCTCTCACTCTCTCCCTTTGACCTTCCCCGCCATCTCCTGCATACTTCCAGTCACCACTTGGACATGGGGTAGTCTCTTCCAGCATTGAGAAAAAAACAAAAAAAAATTACAGGAAAACAAAGCCCAGCTCTAGCATGTTATTATTCCCTTTCAGAGCCAAGTTTCTCCAGAGTTGACAAGACACACACAGTCTTCACTTCCTTACTTGCCATTCACCCTTTCACCAGTTTAAACCAACTTCCACCTGCCACCCCCACCCGGATCACAGAAACCACTATTTTGGTTAAGGTCACCACTGGCCACTGTTCTAACCTCATCTTACTCCATCTCTTAGTCTGCCAGCTGACTGCTTCCTTCTTGAAACTCTCCTCTTTCGCTTTCCATGGTGCCCCACTTCCCTAAATTTCCTCCCACCTCTCTGGTCACTCTCTGTCTGCCCCCTGTGCCGGCCCCTTCTCTATTCAATCTCTACAACTCAGAGGTCCTCGGGACTCTACCCTGGGGCCCCTTCTCTTCTCATTCGGTAAGCTCTCTCCATGCCAACAACTCCCAGTTTCCTGTTCCCAGCTCAGCTTCTGCCCTGAGGACCAGCACCCACAAATGCCACCTTGATATTTCCCTTGATGTCTCAAACTCAACAAGACAGGAGAGGAATTCTTCATCTCCAGATGGCCCCCCTCCCCAAAGTATTTGTCCTGCTGTCTTCCACCCTGCAGTAGATGGCACCCAGCTGCTCATGCCACAAACACAGGCATCATTCCCGACAAGCCTCTCCCTCACCTCAACCCTCCATATTGAGTTTGAATATTTTCGCTGAAGGCATGAAATCCTGGCTTCAGAATTTCTTCTTCAGAAAGGACAGGCAGGGACCAAGAGTGACCTGTCCATCCCTGTATTCCCAGCACTTACTCTAGCACCTGGCATGTGGTATTTGCTCAAAAAATATCTCTTGAACAAAAGTTGAAGCTTTTCCCCAGGATCATCTTTCTAAGCCAGCCAGGCTCTCTAGTGCTACTACGATCCATCAGGCTACTCACCCAAACCCCAAGGGTCACGATACTGCAGTGCTCATCCTGGAGGTGAGGAGTTGGAGGAGTCCCGGAACCCCGTTCTCAAAGGTGCCCTCACCTGGATGAGGATAAAGAAGAAAAATTTCTAAATGGATTTAAAAAAAAAAAATCAACTACACATCTTGTTACTGCATATCTTAAGAGCAGATTTCCTATGTATTCTAGAATGCTCGATTAAGAGGCAGTTGTCATCTCCCATGTAAAGGGAATCAACTTCCAATTTTTAAAGAGTATATTATCCAATCGGTAGACATCTCAAGGCCCCTGTGACTTTCCCTCCTCCCCAGCTGCACATTTTATTTTCAGAGACTGGGAAATACTAAGGGCAAATAAAATCAATGTTTCTACTTTCTAAATTTCTGGGCATTTCGTAGGAAAAAAAAAAACCCTCACATTTTTGCTGCTGCCCATTCCTCGTTCGTACAGAGAACTGGAGCTGACTGGGAAGGAGAAAGAGACAAAACTGCAGACGCACTGTTGAATTCATGGAGTGAACTCGGTTGCAGTCCTCCCTACTCTGAACCCTCACTCTACACGGCAAGCACTCAGCAAGGAAGGGTATTTTCACATGCTTTTGGGAGAACGTGGGGCTGAACAACCTGGCCAGATGATTTCCATGACTGAGTGCCTACTGTGTGCAAAACGCTAAAATGAACGGGGCTAGATAAGTCAAGAAAACAAGCTACTGGTCAAGCAGGACAATTTCTAACATTAGTCCTCGTAAAACAGAATTATAACCCCGAGCCTCCCCCTTTGCCCAGATTTTATAGTTTTGAAATTGCAAGGAAGAAGCAAGTTCCAGATTGTCCTAAGGCCAAATTATTTCGGAATCTTTCAAAGGAGACTCTATAAGGTTGTCACAAAGTTGTAAATAAATTCACAAAATAATCTGACCAAGCTCAGAATCACCTCTACAATTCCAATTTCAATTCCTCCAATGATCCTTTCCCACTTTTCTGCTCTAAGAAGTCAAGTTTATTACAACGATGTCAAGTTTAACAAAGTTCATTTCTATGCTATGACCACTACTCCATAAAAGGCAGAGTATCAAACTTAGAATGTGGCACTAAAAGGCCGCAAGATTCCATTCCGAGCTCATTCTTAACTTCTGGCATGCCAATTCCTAACAGCTTCCTCTCAGCAAAAGTACACAATAGGAAGAACCAATCTTTCCCCAACATGCGGAGAAAAGAAAACTATACGATGCATATGCACATGCACAGAAAACCTTGGTCCATACAAAATACTAATGTATGTTTTCATACTCGAAGGGTCAGAATGCCTCTATTACCCTTTAAGCTGACGAATCTTAAGCAAGCAAGTAACTTATATCAAACTAAAGAGTCTTGATAAAAGTTAAGCCTTCAAAAATGAGTTTCTATCATTTAGAATAATGGTCACCCAAAGTAAAATTTCAGCACAAATGTCCCTTCTTTGTGAAATTCTCCTTGATTCCCAACTGTCCTTAGGAAAGTCCTCTGGGTCCCTTATAGCATTATGGTCACAATCCTATTATAACACTTAAAAAACTGTATCCCTGTTATGTGTAGACAGAGAGCCCCCTGAGGAAAGGGTCATCATCACAGCACCCAACACCCAGGAGAAACTCAAGAAATGCTAGGTGATCCAGGGATTATAATGAGCTTGGAGCTTAAGTTTTGCTACCCTTGCCTCGAATTTACACAAACCAATGAAGACATGCTAAATACCTGTTTAACTTCCTACCACCTGCCTTTCCCACGAAGTGAGCTATTGCGGGAAGTCCCTGCTCACAGAAAAACAGACGGTAACTACGCTTACACTTTTGACTTGCATTTAACTTGATGACCTTTGCCTTGGGAAACAAATGTAGTTTTAACTTACAAGAGACCCTACAGAAACAAACAAAAATCCAAAATACTCAGATTGAATCACGGAAGTCGTATGTTCATCATCAGTGTCTTTACCTTTCGAGATGTCCACTCTGCTCTCTCTTCTACATTGGGACACAGAAGAACTTTCCAAGAATGATCTCTGCCTCCCAAACAGAAGGGGATTTTTAGGTCAAAGTGGAGTGACACCAGCTAGCCCCACATTCAGTCCTACAGGGGTGAGAAGAATAGAGAAGTTCATACCCCAATTCACACTGATTGCAAAGAAAACCACCCATTCCCCAATGCTCTGAGGCCAAAACAGTATTTAGAAGGAGCAGTGAGAAAATAATTAGGTCAAAAATGGGGAAGGAAGGCAAAACCACTAAAACTCAAAATGCAAGAAGATGGAGCAGTGCAGCTCAAATCCATCCCATTGAAGCTGGGGTTGTTTATTAGAAAAGCAAAACCACCAGACACAAAAGCCTCAAGCTAATCATTGTTTTTAACTTTCTCCACAACCAAGAACAGTCACCAACAGGTTGCAAAATGGACTTTTATTTCATATCTTCTTTATGCCCTTGTGTTCAGCATGATGGAGATGCTGAAAAAATATTGCAAAGCCTAAAATGCAGGTGGCCATAAGAAAATTTAACTTTCAAAAATCAGTTGGTCTAGAGCAGGAGTTCTTGATGTGGGACCCACTGGCTCACATGGGGTCTGTGGACAGACTTAGTGGCAGCTGTGAACTTCCGGGGGAAAACTTCCATCTTCATTCGTACTCACTCACCTCTAGCAAAAGTAAGCACTGCCGTCAATTGTGAAGGGAGGGAACAACCAGCGGTAGGTAGTATTAGCAATCCCGTGACTGTCACCAAGACGAACCACAGGACACTTTCCCGTGGCATTACACTTGTTGCAGATATCCCAACACAATATTTACACCCATCCCTACTTCAAAATCACAGTAAGGTGAGATCGCAGCTACACTTTATTATTTAATGTGTTAGAAAGAAGCATATAAATTACTGTATCATAATTGTTTAACATTTTGCTGTTTCCCTGTCACTTCTAAGTCTGTATGTTCTATTTTATGCATTTCAAAAACACAATTCTTGAAAGAGGTCCTACGCTTCATTAGTTGGCCAGAGGGGTATGTAGGACATAGGAGGTTAAGAACAAATAAAGTTGTTCTCGAACAAATAAAGTTCCTATAGATTCTAACATCATAGTCACCAAGGCAGACAGACAAGTTAAGTTATTCCACCAACATTACTTCATAGTTGGAAGAAAATTAAGCCACCATGAAGCCACGTAACACGTCCAAGGTCACTCAAATTTAGGGTGGGCATCAGCCTAGGTGAGCATTCACAGCATGTGCTGTGAATTTCCTACTCTTCCATGGGGACCTTTTCTTACATTCCACAATTGTCATCACTACTAAATGGGGACAAGGTATCACCTTTCAAAATTAGTAGAAAACCAATACTCAGACGACCGAACAAGACAGATGTATAAGGTACTCCTTTTTGTTTCTTGATCAACTATGCTGCCATAATTGTTACAAAGGCTGAATTTGTTCTGTTCCTGAGAGAGAGGAATCTTTTAAAAGCGAGAAAAAAGTTGGGCTACATCATCTCTCATTCTCAGAAGTGTTCAAAGCACTTTGCAGATAGGCATTCATTTGTTAAGCGCTGCAATGGGTTATGAGTGGTCAGGGCAGTGGTATCACGACTTCATAAACGGGGAAACTGGACAATAAATATGAAAGATTGGTTCAAAGTCCCATAAGTCAATGGGAGAGTCAGTTTCCTGATTCCAAGTTCAAGGACTCTAACCACTATACCAAGTCACTATGATCAAATATTTAGTTGATTATAATACTTGTGAAACCTCTGTATTTTTTATCCCCTATAAGCCAGAGAGCATTTTCTTTTGATTTACAAAAGCAGACACTCCTGGGGGCGATGGGGCAAATATTCCACAGAATAAATTCCAATGTACATAAGTACTTTTTCACATATGCTAGTCATCTAAAAATCCAGGTCAGGGATCCTGAGCTCAAAAGCCACATTACATACAAGTTGCCTCCTAAGAAGAGAACAGTGTGGAATTGTTCCTTCATCTTTTAGTCAATGACCTCCTTACCTACCTACCATATCTTGTGGAACTATTATCACCTTACTTGCAACACTGTTATTACAAAATAATATTATAATGGTTCAATACCATTAGATCCTCAGTCCTAAAACTACGAAATGTTACCCATGCCCCAACTTTGCCTTAAATTTTCTCTTCTTATTCAGACCACCAGTTAGTGGAATCCTCATCCTTCAAAACATCCTTACATCGTCTAACTAACTTCTCCTTTTATTAACTCATCTCTGTCTTCAATAGCTTGAGTCTTTTTTCAATAGTTAGTAAGGATATCTTTCTTAAATTTGTACTTGTGACCAAAACATTATTCACAGTAACATTAATTCCTTGCTAAAATTTCCCAGATCACTAGTATCAAGACAAAAAACAAAATCAACAGGGCGATCACACTGCTGAATCTCCACAAAGAGTCAAAGGTTCTTAACCCACACATGACTGTTACCCACCCATATCCTTTTGCCCTCCCAACTATTTTACTATTCATCCTTCCTACCTGCTACTTCCAATTCATCATTTTGTGCTCTGTGCAAGAAGAGTCCAAATCTCTGGTCTAAGAATGAACACTTAATTCCTGTATATTTCAAATGCTAGTAACCCACCACACATCACTGACCCAAATGAATCTCTTTACACAGCCACTAAATCACTTTCCCACTAAAGTCACCGCCAGGGATCTATCCATGTTTGCCTTAACCAAAGCCTAACTTTGCACCAATTTCATCCCATCCTAGAGGCTCTCCAGCAAGAGATGCCTTGTCCACTAACTTTATCAGTCCCCAACTGGACTGCAACTTAGGCTCTAAGTCCCTCCTCTCTAGCAGAGACCAGGGCCCCTGGAGGACAGATTTGAGGCCTCCTCCTTCAGGCTTGGGAGCCTTCAGGTAAGGCCCCCAGCGACAATATTACAGGCCTCTGGCCCTTCCTTCTGAACATAACCAACCCTGTTGTTGTTTTCCTTAGGATATCTCCATTTCACCAGGCTCACCCAACACTAACCAGTGACATCTTAATAGTCTTTGCAACTTTCAAAGGTCAATGACCAGGGTTCCACTTTGGAAATCCCTGGTGTGTCCACGACCCCCACAATGACTCAGTGACCTAGACATCAGCACCTCACCTACTGGAGCCCTTTACTACTCCTACACGCTTCTTAGCTTTCACTTCCCCTCACCCTTCAACAAGTCACTGGCCTGCAAAGTCCCCTTTACCTCTCTATCCGCCGCCAGGGTCTTACAGACCCCACCAAACTCGACCCGAATTCCCTCATTTAGCTCTCCATCTCGCCCCTCCAAAGCCCCTTCATCCCAGGACCCTGGGACCGTCCCATCTCCTCATTTAGCCTATCCAAGCAGTGCTTGGGACACAACCCCTAAAAAACCGAGATGCCGCGGTCTCTTCCCACCGCTCACAGAGCGGTGGGCAAAGGACGCCCCCCTCCTCCCCCACAGGTTTCTCCAGACTCAACTCACTACATCCGCAACCTCGACCCCCGCCCCTTTCTCCCC